TGTGATATTCCCCTGTCTTGCGAATTCCTTGTATAATATATTTTATATATTTATAAAATATAATATATATATAATATATATTATATATATGCAAAAAACCACTCTGAAAGAATAGAGAAATTCCAAGCGCATTCGTGACTACTCACATTATCAAGGAACTGATAATGTGAGTAGTCACGAAAGCGCTTGGAATTTCTCTATTCTTTCAGAGTGGTTGTTTTGCATATATATATATATATATATATATATATATATATATAATATAATATATATATATATATATATATATATATATATATATATTATATATATATATATATATATATATTATATATATATATATATATATATATATATATATATGTCGTGCCGAATATGTAAACTGGTCAATTAGCAAGAACTCATTTAAAATTAAGTCCTTTCTAAAATTTTCTCTTATACGTTATACGTTTAGTGTTTGTGTATATTTCGCCTGCTCTTGCGAATTCCTTGCTATATATATATATATATATATATATATATATATATATATATATATTATATATATATATATATATATATATATATATATATATTTATATATATATATAATATATATATATATATATGTCGTGCCGAATATGTAAAACTGGTCAATTAGCAAGAACTCATTTAAAATTAAGTCCTTTCTAAAATTTTCTGTAAAGATATATTTTTTTCATTAACGTTAATGTAAAAAAATTTAATTTTGGTCCAAAAGAATCTTAGAAAACGCCTAGCCCAACTAAATATATTTTAGATTTGTTTCCAGTAATTTAATACTAAACAAACACAGTGAAATATATTTTTTTGTTAGGTTCAGAATGATTTTGGCGAAATTATTGCATACACAAATTTTCGCTTGTCCTATATGGCAAGACGAGCGTTGCTATTTAAGCCAAGATCGCAAGTTCTGCTTATTCGGCACGACATAATATATATATATATATATATATTATATATATATATATATATATATATATATATATATATATATATATATATATATATATATATATATATATAATATATATATATATATATATATAATATATGTCGTGCCGAATATGTAAAACTGGTCAATTAGCAAGAACTCATTTAAAATTAAGTCCTTTGTAAAATTTTCTCTTATACGTTTAAAGACATATTTTTTTCGTTAATGTTGATGTAAAAATTTATAATTTTGCACCAAAAGGAACTTAGAAAACTTACCTAACCTTATTATAACAAGAACAATTTTTTTTAACCTAACCCAACTAAATATATTTTAGATTTGTTTACAATAATTTAATACTAAACAAACACAGTGAAATATATTTTTTTCGTTAGGTTCAGAATGATTTTGGCGAAATTATTACATACACAAATTTTCACTTGTCCTATTTGGCAAGATGAGCGTTGCTATTTAAGCCAAGATCGCAAGTTCTGCCTATTCGGCACGACATATATAGGAGCCTTTGAACCAAGTGAGAGAGTAATTGTGGTAGGGGACCTGAATGCTAAAGTAGGAGAAACTTTTAGAGAGGGTGTGGTAGGTAAGTTTGGGGTGCCAGGTGTAAATGATAATGGGAGCCCTTTGATTGAACTTTGTATAGAAAGGGGTTTAGTTATAGGTAATACATATTTTAAGAAAAAGAGGATAAATAAGTATACACGATATGATGTAGGGCGAAATGACAGTAGTTTGTTGGATTATGTATTGGTAGATAAAAGACTGTTGAGTAGACTTCAGGATGTACATGTTTATAGAGGGGCCACAAATATATCAGATCACTTTCTAGTTGTAGCTACACTGAGAGTAAAAGGTAGATGGGATACAAGGAGAATAGAAGCATCAGGGAAGAGAGAGGTGAAGGTTTATAAACTAAAAGAGGAGGCAGTTAGGGTAAGATATAAACAGCTATTGGAGGATAGATGGGCTAATGAGAGCATAGGCAATGGGGTCGAAGAGTATGGGGTAGGTTTAAAAATGTAGTGTTAGAGTGTTCAGCTGAGTTTGTGGTTACAGGAAAGTGGGTGCAGGAGGGAAGAGGAGCGATTGGTGGAATGATGATGAAAAGAGAGTAGTAAGGGAGAAAAAGTTAGCATATGAGAAGTTTTTACAAAGAGAAGTGTTTGCAAGGAGGGAAGAGTATATGGAAAAAAAGAGAGAGGTTAAGAGAGTGGTGAAGCAATGTAAAAAGAGAGCAAATGAGAGAGTGGGTGAGATGTTATCAACAAATTTTGTTTGAAAATAAGAAAAATTTTTGGGGAGTGAGATTAACAAGTTAAGAAAGCTAGAGAACAAATGGATTTGTCAGTTAAAAATAGGAGAGGAGAGTTTTTAAATGGAGAGTTAGAGGTATTGGGAAAGATGGGGGAATATTTTGAGGAATTGTTAAATGTTGATGAAGAAAAGGGAAGCTGTGATTTCGTGTATAGGGCAAGGAGGAATAACATCTTTAGGAGTGAGGAAGAGCCAGTTGTGAGTGGGGGGAAGTTCGTGAGGCAGTAGGTAAAATGAAAGGGGGTAAGGGCAGCCGGGATTGATGGGATAAAGATAGAAATGTTAAAAGCAGGTGGGGATATAGTTTGGAGTGGTTGGTGCAATTATTTAAAAAATGTATGGAGAGGGTAAGGTACCTAGGGATTGGCAGAGAGCATGCATAGTTCCTTTGTATAAAGGCAAAGGGGATAAAAGAGAGTGCAAAAATTATAGGGGGATAAGTCTGTTGAGTGTCCCTGGTAAAGTGTATGGTAGGGGTTATAATTGAAAGAATTAAGAGTAAGACGGAGAATAGGATAGCAGATGAACAAGGAGGCTTTAGGAAAGGTGGGGGGTGTGTGGCCCAGGTTTTTTACAGTGAAACATATAAGTGAACAGTATTTAGATAAGGCTAAAGAGGTTTTTGTGGCATTTATGGATTTGGAAAAGGCGTATACAGGGTGGATAGGGGGGCAATGGGGCAGTTTTGTTGCAAGTGTATGGTGTAGGAGGTAGGTTACTGAAAGCAGTGAAGAGTTTTTAAAGAGGATAGTGAGGCTCAAATTAGAGTATGTAGGAAAGAGGGAATTTTTTCCCAGTAAAGTAGGCCTTAGACAAGGATGTGTGATGTCACCGTGGTTGTTTAATTTATTTATAGATGGGGTTGTAAGAGAAGTAAAGCGAGGGTCTTGGCAAGAGGCGTGGAGTTAAAAGATAAAGAATCACACACAAAGTGGGAGTTGTCACAGCTGCTCTTTTCTGATGACACTGTGCTCTTGGGAGATTCTGAAGAGAAGCTGCAGAGATTTGGTGGATGAATTGGTAGGGTGTGCAAAAGAAGAAAATTAAAGGTGAATACAGGAAAGAGTAAGGTTATGAGGATAAAAAAAAGATTAGGTGATGAAAGATTGAATATCAGATTGGAGGGAGAGGTATGGAGGAGGTGAACGTATTCAGATATTTGGGAGTGGACGTGGTCAGCGGATGGGTCTATGAAAGATGAGGTGAATCATAGAATTGAGAGGGAAAAAGAAGTGAGTGGTGCACTTAGGAGTCTGTGGAGACAAAGAACTTTGTCCTTGGAGGCAAAGAGGGGAATGTATGAGAGTATAGTTTTACCAACGCTCTTATATGGGTGTGAAGCGTGGGTGATGAATGTTGCAGCGAGGAGAAAGGCTGGAGGCAGTGGAGATGTCATGTCTGAGGCAATTTTGGGGGTTTTGAATATAATGCAGAGAATTCGTAGTTTTGGAAGTTAGGAGGAGGTGCGGGATTACAAAACTGTTGTCCAGAGGGCTGGGGAAAGGGGTTTTTGAGGTGGTTCGGACATGTAGAGAGAATGGAGCGAAACAGAATGACTTTAAAGAGTGTATCAGTCTGTAGTGGAAGGAAGGCGGGGTAGGGGTGGGCCTAGGAAGGGTTGGAGGGGGGGGGGTTAAAGGAGGTTTTTGTGTGCGAGGGGCTTGGACTTCCAGCAGGCATGCGGAGCGTGTTTGATAGGAGTGAATGGAGACAAATGGTTTTTAAAACTTGACGTGCTGTTTGGAGTGTGAGCAAAGTAACATTTATGAAGGGAAATTTAGGAAACCGGCAGGCCGGACTTGAGTCCCGGAGATGGGAAGTACAGTGCCTGCACTCTGAAGGAGGGGTGTTAATGTTGCAGTTTAAAAAAATGTAGTGTAAAGCACCCTTCTGGCAGACAGTGATGGAGTGAATGATGGTGAAAAATTTTTCTTTTTCGGGCCACCTGCCTTGGTGGGAATCGGCCAGTGTGATAATAAATAATAAATATATATTATATATATATATATATATATATATATATATATATATATATTTATATATATATATATATATAAAAATATATATATATATATATATTATATATATATACATATATATATATTATATATATATATATTATATATATATATATATATATATAATATATATATATATATATATATTATATATATATATATATATAATAATTCCCACCTGAACACTCACCTTCACCCTTGGCCCTGGACATTCTCGGACACCACATTTTGGCCGTAAAGTAAGTCTGGGATTTGTCCTTGTGCAGAATGACACTGTAGCGGCAGCGGAAGTCCAGGAATTTAACTATACCACCTTTCAGTAATCTAGGAAAGAAAGTTTTTTAAGTCTCTTTTTAACATACAAATAAAAAAATCACAACAGCAGGACGGCAAATATTTTCCAAACGTATTTTGGAGAAGCCAAGAGGAGTTAGTACCCTTTTAACTTGTTGACGACAGGATTAATAAGATCCTTCCAGTCCTGGGCGTGGCTGGGGTCTGGCTGGCACATCAACAGCAACACACCCAGGCAGCTCATTAACACCCACAGCCTCATCACTAGGCAGGAAAAATAATGTTAACTGCATTATAAGTTCACATGCATTTTATTACAATTACTTTTTGTTAGAATATTCGAAAAGCATTAATGAGTTTTTATTAAAAGCATTGCTGTGGTTTTTCTTGATAGAAAGAAGATAAAATTTGAATAGTTCTATTGCCACCAGTTTAAGGCACCAGAGGCAGTTTATAGCCAAACTGCGTATGCTAATATTATTGAAATTCTGCGGTATTTCAAAGATAATCAACTTTTTGCTGGATTGAATGTTAAAATCTAAATTAAACCATAAGAAGGTACTGAAACATTAAGCTAGTGGTCAAAAGATAATGAATTTTATCATTACAATGTGTGGAAAATTGCATATATCTGAATGTAACTAATTATGTACATAACAGTAAATGATAACAAAGGTAATTATTATTTATCAATGTTACATAGACAATAGGAATTTGGGACACCTAGGTCGCAAAAAATGTCCCCCTTCGATACCTACCACTGTCATAACCACAAGTTGCTCTGGACCTATTAATTAAATGAAATATACATACACCAGGAATACTGGTAAATATATAAATTTGTGGACTGTATATTAAAAATAATGAATGGTTATATATATATATACACAATTACATAACAGAAGAAAAATATATCTTAATATCACTCACCAATTTAACTGGAGATTTATGTGTTTTCATACTCAGAAAACCTCACTCTAACTAATCTATGAAAAATGCTGGCCAGAATTACACAAAAATCTAGAGAGCTTATCTGAGGTTTCCCTGGAGCTGTCTTGTCCATTTCGTCTGATATCTCAAGTTATGCGGGGAATGCCCATCCTCCAATTTCGCCTCCTATTTGAGAGGTTGTCAACACAATTTTAAACCCTCTAGAGCACGAAAAATTCTTCCCATTACACCAACGTTTGTACAAAATTCAAACCAAGATGGCCAGTCTCCTTCTGCGCAGACGAGACTCTCCTTTTTCCCTATGACATAAATTTTTATTAAAAAACAGTATGGCCATCTATTTACATAAAAATACTGAATTTCTGGAAAATATATACAGTATTTTCCACACTGCGGGGGGCCCGGAGTTCGTTGCTAAACGATTCAAATTACTCCTTCCTTTAGGAGACGATTCCAGCCAGTTCTGGCTTGAGTGGCTGTACTCCTAGTAGGTCTTACTAAGATTTCATCTTCCGGCATCACTTGGTCTGCGTTATCTTCCATATCACTTGTGTCACTTTCCCTCAGATTTTCATTTACGTTTGATTGAACACCTAATTCCAAGGGAATCAATTTATTAATTGTGCGTAAACTTTCCCTGGCCACGACACAACACTTTGGACATTCCTGACAACACCTTGGGGCATCTGGGTACAATGTCAATACTTTGCCCAGAGGCCACAATGTTCGATGTTCAGTGTCAATTAACACAATGTTACCTGGTTGAATGGTCTGTCGATTTACTGCCTCTGTCGCACCATAAAAGTGTTCACGTAGTGTAAGAAGATATTCCTTACGCCACACATTAGACCAATGATCAATTACTTTATTTAACATTTTAAATTTATTACACAACACTGCCGCATCATTGTAATCTTTATCACTTTCTTCCGGATTATCTCTATAGTCAGGGGAAAGTTTCCCAATTTCTTCCACATATTAGATGAAAAGGGTGTTAATACATCCGCATCAGGTGTATCACTCATGTGCGAGAGAGGCCTATTATTTTTACGATTTTCTGCCTCTACTAACAGTGCACGGAATTCTTCCAAATTAATTCTCTTCCGGTGTAGTACTTTGCGGAGACACCTCTTCACTGTGCCTATCGGTCTTTCGAACAGCCCCCCCTGCCAAGGGGCTCTAGGAGTAATAAATTTCCAGGTACACCCTCGCTGAGTTAACAGAGATTGAACATCGTTACTATTATTTAATTCTATCAAGTGTTGAGCACCTGCTACAAAATTTGTGGCATTATCATCAACCTCGGACAGGATCTCCTAGCTGCAAATTTTCGAAACAGCTGTATAAACTGTTTTGCAGACAAGTCCTGTGCCACTTCAAAATGAACTGCCTAGTAGCAGTACAGGTGAACAAAAAAAACATACACTTTCAGGGGAAAACACCATTTGATGTACCTGTTAAAATTATTGGACCACTATAGTCTACACCTGTTACATCAAATGGTTTCACTAATTGTACACGCTCCTTTGGCAATGGTGGAGGACCTGGGTACATATAGGATCTGGCATCCACACGGCAACATATTACACAAGATTTAATCACCCTTTTTACACTTTGCCATCCTTGTGGAATCCAGAAAGTTTCCCTAATACAATTTAAGGTATCTTGTACCCCACCATGCATTACATTTTTATGGGCATTTAGAACAATCAAATAGGGTGTTTAGCATAATCACCCAATTCAGCATTTTGTAACCTACCTCTGCACCTAATTACATTGTTCTCTAAATACAGCCCCAATTTCTCTATTATAGAACCTTTCACAATTTTTCTTTCCATCATCAATTTAATCTCATTTCCATAGATTTCCTCCTGTACCCTCTTTATCCAATATTCAAGAGGATGTGAAAACTTATATGAAATATTTATCTTGTTTAGAAATTCAAACACCAACTTAGTTACATTGATCAGTTTGGGTAAAGAAGAATACCTATTTATATCAATGGATAAAGAAGGACAAACTACTGGAGCGGTGGTCACAGTAATTTCAACAAAAGCAATATATGCCTTTTGTACAGGCCAATTAGCTTTATTTACCAAAACCAGCTTGGTCCTTTAAACCATGATACAACATTTACAAATTTAGCATAAGGTAAACCTGGAGACAAGAAATCAGCTGGATTCTCCTCACCAGATATATGATTAAATGTTAACACATGCTGACCCAAACTATTATACTTCTCTTGCATCTGATTAATTTCAGCAACTCTGTTTTGTACATACACAATTTTACTGTTTCCATTACAAATCCATTGTAAGGATACCTCATTATCAGACCAAATTACAGTGTCGCTAATATTTATCTCCTGCAACTTATTTCTTATATAATTAGCTAATTTGACACCTACATAAATGGCTGTTAATTCCAACTGATTTAAGGTATGTGATTTAATTGGAGACACTTTAGCCATAGACATAACAAGAGAAATAACACTATTACATTGAAGATAAGCAACTGCTCCATATGCCAATTTTGAAGCATCACAAAAAATGTGGGAGTACTTTTTTTCCCTTTGGATTGGCCACCTGGCATGGGAACTCCAACATTGGAATTTTTTCATAATCACCAATTAATTCATCCCCACCGTTAATAAATTTTCCTCGGTAGAAATTTCATCCCAAGCACATTTTAAGTTTCCATGCTTCCTGAATTAATAATTTCCCCTTATAGTAAGGGGTGACACTAAACCTAGTGGATCAAAAGATTTGAAAATTTCAGCAAGCAAACTTCTTAGTTAATTTATTGGGGCATACTGTAATTATTAGGTTTTAACATTAACAAATCTCTTTTTAGTATCCCAATTTAAACCCAGTACATACTACATTTTGGCACCTATCTCCAGGGTAATCTTTACTTATTTTGCCCTTAAATTTGGACGAATTTACTATTCCATTCTCTCAGAGGCATATTTGCACTTTGCATTATTTTATTAGCTTTTTCCATAAGTCATTAACAGTTCCTCTTCAGTTGACGTTACCCCAAGGAAATTGTCCACAAAAATTGTTTGCTCATTACTTTACTCAATGGACTTTCCATACGTTTAAGGTGTGCATTTATCGCGCTTAAAGTAGGAACGGACTGGATGTAGCACCAAATAATACGCTCCTCAAGCAAAAGGTTTTCAGAGGACTAAGTGGGTCACTGGGGATTCTAAAGGCCATAAGAAGGGGGTTTACAATCCCGGTCAGCCTCTTGTAAACCCACTCTTAGGAAGCTTTACTTATGTCAGCCGTAAAGGCATAATTTTTCATCCTGAAATTTAATAGTATCTCCTAATTTTCCGTCAACGAGGGCCCTGTAAATCAAACAGTCATTTAAACTAGGTACATTTTTGTTACTCCTGGCACTACAATTAAACACAATTCTCAGAGGAGTGGTCTTAGAATCCTTCTTCACTCCGTGATGTGGCAAATAGTGACCATAAATTTTGGCTTGCTCAGGAGGTACCTTTTTCTAAAAAATTTTTTAAATTAACTGTTCAGCAATTATATCATTATAGGCAGTTAACAATTCTGGGTGTTTTACTCATTCGCGGAGCTGAGCCTTTAACTGCCCTATCCCCATTCTGTAATTGGTGGGCAATTCTGGATGGTTCAGTCTCCACGGAAGTCGTACCCAGTATTGTCCAGATTCAAATTTTTACATTCTCTCAGGTATTGCCCCTGAGTAAAAGAATCGTCTGGACTTTCTTCATTTACATTTATTCCAATGCTGTCTAATTCCACAATTTATGCACTGGCTAAACACCACCCTCTATGGAAGAATTATACTGGGGTACGTTTTCATGAGTAAGACACACAGTTATGGTATTTGTAGTTTCCTCTAGTCATGAATTTATTATACGAGGAATCCTACCATACATTACAGGGCCCTCCTGCAGTCTTCAAAAGGGTGACACCACATTTCTTTACCATACCCTTTACAAAGGAGGCAAAAACAGTCACTACCTATTAAAATATTTATTGGGCCTACAGAATCATCACTTACACCAGAAGATGCTAAATTTACATTATGTGAAAGTATTTCTGTAGCTTTACTAAGTCCTACTGTAGATATTTTCTTTTGGAAGTCTATCTACAATTTTACTGCATTAAACACGTTTTTTCTCATTGCTCAACCTGACAGTTACATAAACGGTGTCATACAATTGAGATCTTTTATCCGAGAGAAAACCAGATAATTTTAAAGTTGTGGGATCTCCCATCTGTACTTTCATACCATCAAGACATTTACGTTTTATGAAAGTACACTGG